TGCATATTTACTTTAAAAGGGGAAATGCCCAAAAGAAAGGGAAATACCAAAGCATATTGCAGTCTACTTGATAACAGAAAAAAAGTAAATCATCGCTGCTTCTTAGGAAGCAGGGCAATAAAGTTGCAAATAAATATCTTATTACAGCTTGATAATAATTTTTTTATGTTGAAATTTACTCCAGAAAAAATTATATTCCTTTGACCACTCTTCATATAGGTTTCTTTCAGGAACATATCAACTTGCACACATAGCTCTATATCAAACAGAGAGGCAAAAATCAATAGTGAATAAGACAAGTGAAAAGAACAAAATACTAACATGGTTTATTACAAACCACTTACATAAAAAATTCCACAGTTAATCCTCTCATAAATATGGAATAAATATAACCATGAAAGTATGAAATTTAAAATTTTGTTATGAGTGGATATCTAAAAAAATAGAATCTTAATATATGCAGCTTTAAATCACTGTATTCATTTTGAAATTTTGCCTGGTGGAACACATCAAAGTAATTTAAAAAAACAAAATCAAGTTTGTTGAGTAAGAAGAATAGGCTTGCAGTATAATTTGAAGCTCAAGCATGGGCCCTGATGAACAGCTGTAGGGGAAAAAAAGAGTTCTCAAAGGCAATGACCACCACAACTATGTCTTTCACTCTTGTAACGCACCATAGGAAAAGCAGCAGTCTCTTAAATAACTGGATTCTACATTATACAACAATTAAGCACCCTTCACATAGGAAAATATCCTCTATTTCTGAATCTACATAATAATCACTTTTCCCTATTCAACATCTTTCCCATGATTATATGTGTAAATGCTAAGAAAAATGCCGCAGCCACAATTCAGTTGGTTATGAGTAGATTTTAATATCTAATTAAGATGGGTCAGTATTTCAAAGAGACACTAGTAGAGATTAACTGAATGATACAATAAATGGCATTGACTCAAGTGGCAGCAGTATTTTCCTTGGGTCTAGAACAAAGTAATATCCTATGCAAGAGTTAAATATGCTTTCATGCACTCTGTCATCTTGAAGAATGTCTTTTATAAATGCAACACAGACGCCTGCCAGGGTTTTCTTATCACCAGAATCAATGCTGCTTAAGGTGCTATATTTCAGACATGACCTTACACCCCAGTTCTACTTTTGTTCACTGTGGGGCCCTATTTACAAGAAAACTTGGCCACCTAACCTTTGATTAGTATTTCCGTTGCAGAGCCTCTTTCTTTTCTGTTGCGCCCCATCACTGAGCTCCATTCAGGGGTCTGCATCAGCAGGGGCCAAAGAAAGTCTATAAATAGTACTTGGTTCTGAATATCCTAATCATAGATGTAAATATATGTGTCTTATGAGACTGGTACTGTCTAATAAGTTTGTAAAACACATAGACACTATGAAACTGTAACATATTATTATAAAACATTTACATACTCAAAGACTGCAAAACAATAGGATTTCCTTACTATGACATATTTCCCTCCCACACTTGAAAGCAAAGCAAATTAACATATCATCATACTTCATACATCTAACATCAGCTCTTTAATACAGTTTATAAAACACAACAAAAGTTGTCAATCTCAGCCATAAGTCAGAAAAAGTGCAAAACAAGTTCCTTACTAAAACTATCTGACATATGGATTGACTTTTCAAATAATTAAAGGCTTAATATGCTTGCCATTTACAAATCAAAATCAACTGATGTGACAGGCTAAAATCTGGTACTTGATCTTCTACTGGTGAAACAGAAAGGAGATACTTTCCACTTCTGAGAATGTCAAAACCAAGGCTCTGAGTGGGCAAGGCCTTAGAAGTACCACTTTATTCAGTATGTTACCATCATTCCTTGTTAAGCACAGCTTCTATTTCTAAAACCTAAGAAATGAGAATGGATGGATCTTCAGTTTGAACATTTTATTTTGTTACCCCTTGTAAAGCACTGGTTCATTAGGGAAGGGGAGTAACAACACTAACTCCTAACTTTCTCTGAGAGTAACAGTAAGGTATATGACAGTGGAGCAACCATATAGCTCCTCCCCAGAAGCTTAGAGAGGCTTCTGTTGTCAAAATTAATAGCTGTTGAGGTGATTACCTTAAATATCATAAGATTTTAAAGGTTACAGTAAAATTGTATTTATTTATTATTTAAAATATTATAAATCACATAACACACCAGGTAAAGCAGAAAATATTTGCATGTTCTGTAATAAACTTAAGCTAGGCTAGGGTTTTAACAGCCTAGACTAGCGTGTGTACAACCCCTGTCACGTGTGAATAAATGTACAATCACTATTCAAAGGCAAAGTTTCTGAACTGATAGTACTCCCAAGTGGTCATACTCACTTGTGAACAAGAACTGCTCTTTATCTAACTTCAAACATTTAATCTAGCACATTTCATCTAAACCTGCCTGGTTCTACTTTCTAAGTTTAAAGCCTGATTTCAACCCATTGAAATGGAAGGGAGTTTTGCAATTGATATCCTGAACTTCATCCCCATTTCTCTAAAAATAGTTCTCATGTTTTACCATTTATGTCCAACTTCAATGGCCTCACAGTTCTCTTTCTTCATCTTGATGCCACCTACATTTGCCTGTTCTGATTATTTTAGCTGCATTATTTTGTTTCCTCTTAAAAAGTGTAATGAAAGTGAAAGTACACAGGCATTTGCATCATCTCATAATGTGAGGTCAGGGGAGGAGAGTGGGCCAATGGCCTTCAATTCATTTTTGAACTCTCAATGCCCTACAAAGTTTTCCTCTACACTCAGTATGAAGCAATAAATTTAGACCTACTAATAAGGCTGTGGGTTAGGGATTTTGCTATTTATCAGCTGACATGAGACTCTGAGAAAGTCAGTGGAGTGTCAAAGAACTCCTGTATCAAAGTTAAAGACCACTGACCTAGATCCTGAGTTATGGAAGGGACATCTCTGTAAAACTGTGATTCATCCATAGTATGGTAAGTAATTCTGCACTGTTCACCAGTTCAGCAACAACATAAAGCACTACATCATGAGAATTTTGTATTTCCATATTGACACATGAATTCAGAATTTTCTGTTATAAATAACTAACAATTTATTTGTAACAAACAAAAATATTTCCTAAAAGCACATGCATGAAATTTACATTTCAAAGAAATTTCCAGCAATTGTTAATTAATTCTGTTTACAGCAATGGTTTTAAGAAACTAGTTGTATCAAAGAAAGAAAGCCTTCAAAATAATTCTGAAATAAATGAAGAATCTTGATTATCCTGACTCCATCTCCGAACAACCTCAAGCTAAAACAAAGACTCAAAATAAAGAATGAGGTTTATGTTCCAGAACAAGGAAAAAATTATTTCTAACACGTGCATTTAGGTGGGCCAGTATCTTTAAACAAGCTATGAAACAGCCTCTGTCAGGTGGTGTACTTGTGTGTAAACTCCACGTTAAGAGAGTTACAACACATTTTAAATCACTGGGCTTGAGTGACAGGCGCAGCTGCTGGCAGCTTTTCGTTTTTTAAAGAATAAACCCCTGGAAAACATTCAGGTTTTAACAAAGCAAATACAAGATCTTCTTGGCAAGATCAGTGGCCAAAAACTTTAAACACCTATTGAAAATACCTGTGAAAAGAGTCAGCTAGAAAATATCACTTCTTATTATTTTAATCACTTACTTTAAAGACAGGCAGCATAAGCATTCAGTGGGTAGAGAGCAAACCCCTTAGCTACCTCCCAACAAACAGTTGTGTTTTCGCTCTACTTTTCTTTGTATTCCTTTCTCTTAGACTTCAACTGGAAAAATGTAAGAGCTCCCATCACAGCTTTCCTAGAAGACTAGTTCAAGGGAAAGCAAGATCTAGCATGAAATGACAGCAGCAGATGCAGAACTGCTCAGCCTGTCTTATGTAATTTGCAAGCCTAAATGTCAAGCCAGTCAACACTAATAACAAAGTCATGGCTTCTTAGACCTCCATGTAAATCTGTACTCTGTCCCAGCACCTCACAGGGAGGGAATGGTTCCTTTCAAACTAACCCCAGAATGCAAACCTCCTTCCTGAAAAGGCATTGTTACAAGCAGAAAAGCACCTCCGAAGCTTTTCATGAACCCATAATAAAACAGCCTTCAGAAACACATTAAACAAAGTCTTCACCCGAACTGAATTTTAAACAACAGTGATTTGTGGTGGTTCTGAACACCTTTTGTTATTTTTATTATGCTATCGTTCAAAACTATATACAAAGCAGTAGTTTGTACAAACAAGATGATTTGTATATCTAAACCAAAAGTAATTTCAGTCTCTGAGCTCCTGTAGCAAAAAAAAAAAGCAAACACCTGAATCAAAAAGATCTGTTAGATGCTCAACTCTATAAGAATAAAGCAATTTCTGACATGTGTCATCTAAACATTTCACTCTTCTCATGTATTATTCACAGAGGTTATACACCAAAGTCTGTTTGTATATGCAAATCCCAAAATTCTATTACTACCTGAAAGCAAATCTGAATGCTTCCAGAATTAAAAATAAAAGGAGCAGCTTAGCTTATTTCAAACACTTCAAGTGGCCCTATAGCCACTTGATGTACTGATCTTGAGGGAGGCCAGATAAAGCACAAGTTACTTTTTCTTCTGGTTTGGCATATTCATGACTAAGGTAAGGTCACACAAATTTGTCTTTCAATTTTTGGTATACAGAGAAGATTGAATAAGCAAGCAATAAACAACAGAAAAAAGTGCTTGTAGCTATCTCACTGCTGAAAATCGGCACTATCAAGTGGCAGCGATGTGCGTGTCTTAACAAGATTATTATTGCCAAAAATATGACAAATTTAGTCTCCCAAACTACAGAATGGTACTAAGACAAGAAATAATATAGCTAGTATGTCAGCTAGTATGTCAACTCCAGCTGTGTTCAAAATGCTTAAACACATGCACCTAATAAAACTCAGCTCTGAAAAGACAGCTGTGAGGGGCTGGGTGTTCTTTTTGGATTATGAACTCACCCAGACTTCAAGTCTGTAATCCGTAAACAATTCGTAGCATCTAGTCCTACTTTTCCATTCCTGACCACACTGGAAATGAAGGGCGAAAGTGCTGGAGAAATTCTGTTCAAGGCCACTTCAGGTGACATTTTATTATGTTCCTCCTTCCTCTTCTCTTGAGCTGCAAAGGGAGAAAATAAAATTTAAAAATTACCTACTTATTTGATGTAGATTCACATGTACTTTGCAAACATCAATAGAAAAAAAGCTAAGCATGCAAAAAATCAGGAGTGTAGAGTAACAGAACTGTGCACAGGTTTATAGAGAAAAAATAAACACAAGTGGTTTTTTTCCTCCCATCTCTGCATCATTCAATGAAGCCTGTTTATTCAGTATCAACATAAAGCCAGAATTATGTCCTAGGCACCTTTAATTAAGGCCCTATCCCTCTGAGAATGAGAAATAAAATTGGGGGCCACTCTGACACTTCCCAGTCTGTAATTGACAAGTCACACTTGTTCCATGTCCCCTGAAATCAGTGGAACTTACATTAACTGCAATGGGCCCAGGGGTTTGATACCTCTCAGTATTCTCACCTGTAATTTCCAAGAACACTAGTGTCCTCACTAATAATCAGTATTACTTTTATATCACTTCATTAGGTGGCAATTTACAGGACTTCATGATGCCTTTTAAAAGCTAACACTGCTTCTCTTTCAGTGGCATCACTGCACTCTTTGAACGGCATCTTAATCTTCCTTCATGTAACAGATCAGGAAGCTGATGTAAACACATTTTAAGCACGGCTTGTTCAGAAGTGCTTACAATTGCACGACCTTATGCTAAATCAATTAGGCCATTAATTTAGCACACTTTAGGAACCTGCTGCTTTCTAGGTGAAAAGTAGAAACTGAGCATACACGCATTTTAAGTCATTGCAGCACGAAATGGACAACAACACACTGGTAGGAGAAGTGGGAGAAAAGAAGGATAACCAACCTATTAAAATATTGATGTATTTGATCACATTCTAAGGCACAGAGCTTCACATGAAAATTAACTGAACTTGGCAGTTTTGGAAAACAAGGCAGTAAATGACTGTAGGTAACATGAACTTGCCACTGACAAGTGGAACAGAAAAGCTCATACAGAAACCCTCAGCATTAAGATTTTTTTTTTTAAATAGCATTTAATTGAAAAACACTAATACACATTGCATTCACTTTCTTAAAACTGCATATGGACTACTGTATTAGTAAGTGTTCTATAACAAGAGTGTGAACAACTCATGGCAATAATTGCAATTTTCTGTTGTTTCTCACACTCGGTTTACAAGTATTAATTAGTAACTAATGGATATTCTGCAGAATCTACTAAATCTCTGGAACTGGGAGCAACATTAAATTTCACATTCTGTTCTCATGAAAGCCATTCACACTGGAGTAGCAGGAAGCAACGCTCAAGAGTGTTTGTCCTAGACATTCAGAAAGTATCTTAATAAAGCAAAGGCCAGGCACTTAAAGGCAAACTGAAAGACTAATAAAGCAAGACTTCCTAAAAACAGTAATTATCTTTAATACACTGGCTCCAACATTTTATGGCAGTGAAGAAGCTGAAGACTATGTATCCATGCCCTGACACATAATGGATTCTCATATATGATTTGTTTAATTGACAATGGAACAACTTAAGTTTGTTTAGCAAACACCTACAGCAATTTAAGATACTACCTCTGGTTTGCTACTTTTCTACTGAAAATTTCTGCCTACTCACGTTTATTCTTCCCCAGAGGGACTGAGAAAACACAAGTCCATTCTTGACATATTTCAATGCTAAGTCCAATGGCTTAGATTGAACTCCTCATAAAAATTAGTCTAAGCTAAAATACTGTGCACCAAGAGGGCACATACTTCAGTCTGCCAGCCCTGCCATAGGGAAGAGTAATTTTAAGCAGGGAGCAGCTGGACTGATGAAGGTGAGAACTTCTTAAACCATCAGAACATGCTGAAAAATATGCTATCCTAGCAATGCTGAAGTTATACATGAAGATCAGAGAATTGGTTCTGATAATGACATGTTTTAAGGGGACTGTGTTATGAGGGTGAAATTGAGAGACGTGATACACCTGGTGATCACAGCTGACCAGAAGCACCTTCCAAAATGAACTTTGAAATGAGATTCCTTATCTATTAATAAAATTTGCAGATATTGTCAAAACAAGATTTAAATGACTGTTAATCATTTTTCTGTATTTTATTGCATCATTTCTTAAAATCACAGTACCTTCCATTTACCAAGTCAGATACACAATACTTAAAGGGTTGCTATCAGGTAAACTCATTGATTTATTTTGTAAACAAAGGGCTTTACAAACTAGAACACAATTTGTACCAGTTTCCTAAGTTTCTGTTGTCATATACATTGTTTTTCTTCAGCCTAAGTTTCCCACAGTACTGGAAACTGAACACAAACAAACTCAGGGGAATAAAGAAAAACAAAATTCACTGGACTGTTTCCCTCCCAAAACAAAACCTTTGAAAGATGCAAACAAACTAAGAGCTGAATCCTCCCAGATTCAGCTGGCTATCATTGTGACTTCGGGCTAATGTTAGACAGGCTGCACAGTAACCATGAAGTCCCAGGCTCTGCTTGGGGATGCAAGACCCTCTGTCCTTCCACCACCGGCCATACCATAACGGGGATTACGGGAAGATTTGAAAAGGAAAAGGCGAATATTGTGATGGAAACCTGGAGGCATGACAGGAGCTCTCCTGTCTAACCCTCTCGGCGTGGCTGGTTGCGTGGTGTTCACTTTGGGGGCGGATGGCAGGAGTTTGTGTCTGGCTGGGAGCGGGCAAAGGAGGGGACGCACGACCGCCGCCTCCTGCAGCCGTGCCCGAACACATCCATGGAATGCGATCAGCAATGTGCACCTGCGGAGCCCCGGTAAACAACCAAGTTACCAAAGCCCTGGCACGGAAGAAGGTTCAGAATCCCAGAATAATGGGTAAGGCTGGAAAGGACCACAGCGGGTCACCTGGACCCACCTCCCTGCTCAGGCAGTGTCATTCTGAAGCACAAGGCACAGAATTGTGTTCAGTCAGCTCTTGAGTCTCTCCAGTGATGGAGACTCCGCAACCTCTCTGGACAATCTGCTCCAGCGCTCACCCACAGAGGAGAGAAGCTCTCCCTACACTCAGGGGGAACTTTCCGTCCATCCACTCCCGTTCCGGGCTGACCCTGGCCAAGCCCCGCTCCCTCCCCAGCTGGTGCCGCCACCCGCGGCGCTGCGCCCGCCCCGCCCCGCCCCAGCGGCGGTGCTAACGCCGGCCTCCTCCGGCTCCGGGCCAGAGCCTCCCGGCGCCGGGTCCCCTTCCGCCCGCCGCTGGCCCGGGAAGGGCTGTGGCGTTGCTCGCTCCCTCCCGCTCTCCCTGCGCGGCTCCTTCGCCCCATCCCGCCCGTCCCGGCCCCGCCATTACCTACGGCGGCCGGAACTCGCCGCTTGGCAACGGCGTGCGCGCCCCCGCGCCGGCCGTGCGCGCCCCCGCCCCGCCGCGCACCGTGCGCGCCTCCGCTCCCCCCGCGCCGCCGCCGCCGCCGCTCCCACCCGGGCCGGAGGGGTCTTCACCGGCCCGATATTGGCGTCCGCCGCAAGTGCCTGTGCGGGCCGCGCCGCCGCGCAGGCCGTGCGGCGGCGGTTGGGCCGCGGCCCGAGCGGCGCGGGACAGAGGGGAAGGGAGAGGGGGCGGCCGTGGCAGCAGGCGTTCGGCAGGGACAGCCCTGCCGGGCGAAGGTCCCCGCGGGCAGCCCGTCGCCCATGGCAACCCGGGAAGCCGCGGCGGGGTCCGGGGCGGGTCAGGGTCAGGGTCCAAGGACCGCCCCGGCGCCATGGCCGCGGAGGTGGTGGTGGTGGGATCCTGTATGACCGACCTGGTCAGGTTAGTACCGGGTGCGGGTTTTCTGCCCGCACTGGGCGGAGCGACCCTGAGGTCATGGGAGCGCCGGGCGTCACGGTGCCCGGGGAGCAGCGCCTGCACGCCGGGCCTCCCCGGGCTAGGCCGGGCCGGAGCAGGCGGGTGTCACGTCGCTCCCCAGGCCGGCAGGGCAGGAGCGCGGTCGGCGGCAGACGCGGCGGGCGGAGCGCTCGGCCCCGGCAGAGGAAAGGACTGAGCACAGGCACGGATGGCTCAGAGGAGCTGTGCAGTCTCCATCGCTGGAGACGGTCAGGAACGGTCTGGACGCGCTCCTGTGCCCTGGGATGACCCTGCTCGAGCAGTGGGGCCGGACCAGGTGACCCGCTGTGGTCGCTTCCAGCCTTATCCATTCCGGGATTGTGGGACTCTGCGGAGGGCTGGGGGGGCGGCTCGCCCGGGTGATGTCAGCTGCAAACAGTGCTTTGAAACAAGAGTGTGGGAACGGGGAGAGGTTTGAACGCGTTGCGTGCCGGAGCTTTGATCAGCTGTCTGTGGCTCGGGAGAGAGGAGAGACTCGGGTTTGTGTTTTCAGCTGTGTTTTCACCGGGCGGGTCGGTGTTGGCCTTGGCCGGGGAAGCAGCGTTCCGTAGGCACCCGCACGGGAAACCTGGAGCTCCGACACTCGGTATCAGCACGGGAGTCTGAAAGGATTTTATGAAAGTAAATCAAGCTGGTCAACCCTAACACGTTGTCAGTTCAAAGCACACTTGTGTCCACTGGAAAAGTGAGAAAGTAAGGTTAATATTGCAAAGAAAACAGAGTTAGCTCCATGAATCACTAGGTTGTAAGTTGATTACTTGCATACAGCATTTTGTGTGACACTTTCAAATGAGATTGAGGAAAAAAGGGAGACCCTCCCAAGATATTTACGTCCAAGAAGTGCATATAGGAAGCTCTCAAAAAGGTTTAGCAGCTCTGAACCCCAAAGCTATTTTTAATTATTTTTAAAGTTTTAAAATTAATATCTTAATGAAAAATAAATCTTTATTTGTTTTCTGAGCATTTTGTTTTTCAAATTAAATACTTGGGTCTCATTGTCTTTTTTTTCTCCTTTTTCTTTTTTGTACATAGGTAAGGTTTGGGAACTTCTTTGAAAATTGGAAGTACAGAAGTTCATGAAAGCTCTTGGTTCCAGTAGCCCTGGCCTTGTAGTCAGTACTAAATAACAGGAGAATTCAAGCAAAATTGCAAGAATTGGCAATGCAAATTCTAACCTGAACTGGCTGGCCTTGTCAGTCCCAGTAAAGTTGGAAATCAGTCTTTGATTTGTACTATTTTAAACACATCTCCTTACTCTACATGCAGTCTTGGTTACAATAGGATTTAAAGTGTATGTATCTGGACAGCATCAGCTTGTCCTGCTTGGAATTCTGCAATTAAAAAAAGTCCTTTATCGACAGGCAATTATACCAAAGCCTGTGGGTCAAGAAAGTGCAGAACGTGTAATTAGAGGAACTGAGGAGTGAGTACTGCTTAGGCATAAACTTGTGTTGCAGAAATGATGGAGCCCCTTAAATAATCATAGAACCTGTGTCAGAAAGATTTAATGCTCTGTGTAATTTGCAGAACATACTGGCAGCTTTCCAAGTAGAATAGTTGTCTAGTAAGTCAGAGTAAGAACTGTGAAACTGATCTTGATGTTATGTGTGAATGAGCTCTCAGATGCTTATGACGTCGCACTGAAATGCAAAACTTGGTGCTCTAACCTCAAGACATTCCTTTTCCTGTCTGTCTAAAATGTGGAGGGAAAAGTAGTAATAAAATTGCCAGTTTTAGCACTGCTGACAACTGCAGCTTTGGGATTTTCTTGACACTTTAACAAACAAACAAAAAAACTTCTTACTTCTTACACGTTTTTTTTTTTTTCCTTTTTTTTTTTTTTTTTTGGCTGCATGTTTGATATGATGGAAATGCAGTCATTTGTTTGAAGGCATATTAACTGGCCATACTGTAACCAGAAATTACACCATGGGCTGGAGTGACAGATGCTGTTACGCTGAGATTAAGTGGCTGAAGAAAAGCCATTTCACTTTTCAGTCGGCTGAGAGGGTTTCTTGAAGTGTACAAATGTGATCACAAGTACATATCTGACACCATTATTAGCCTCTGCTTTAAGTAGCATTGAAAGGGCTTTTTATAAGTGATAAGCTAATCAGCTTCAGTTGAAAAAGAAGGGACGGCTTCATTCTTTCTGTTGCTAGCACAGAACTTCAGGGACTTCATAAAATAAGAACAGTGTGTTTAAATTTAGCTGGCAAGAGTTTAATCTGACCAAAATTTCCATGTGGCACCTTTAGACATTGTTTAAAGGCATCCTGGGTTAGGAAAATCTGGGTAAAATTCCCGGAAAGTACTAAGCAGTAGGCTTGATTGTGCCTAGGTGGAACAGGAAACTATAAACAAGCTGTGTGAAATATAAAAATTGTCACATTAGGGTTAGGATTAGATTCCAGGAGCATAACTCTTGACTGTCTTTGTATATGAGATTTAGAGGGGGCTGCATATTCTGGATATAAAGCTAGGGTTCATTTCAGCTGGAATGAAAGTGTGTTGGGGTTTTGTGAGTTTGTCATTTGTGCTGATGTTTCAGTTTATAAAAGAAATGGACAAGAGTGATCAAGTTAAATGCCTATCACCCATTTGAAGGAGCCTTAATAAATTTGTGAGAGTTATACAGAGGAAGCTGGACACATTTTTGTATATGTTGTGTTTAATGGGCATATTCACCACTCAACGCTAAAGCCTGTCTTTCTTAGAAGGTAATAACATTGATTGAGACTCTGCCAGAGCTACACAATGCTGTGTTATAACTCAAACTGGTGAAATACCCTGTTGGCCCTTCAGGACACAACCTTGACCCTGTGACTGGAGAGGGTCAGACTTGAAATGGTGGTCTTGAAATGGTGAAATGGCAGACTTAAATGTTAAACATTCCCAGGTCTGTAGAGGCAAGGTACCAAAAAGCTTGAAGCCACCACTGGACATATGGTAGCCAGATTCACCATGAAAAAAAAGAATTAGCATATAATGGTTTTACTCAGTACAGTAAACTAATGATTTAAAGGAGTGCAACCTCTATGTGAAATGGAAATGTACAGTTTGAAATGTGCTGAATCTTACATAAAGACCAAGACAGAAAAGGACAGGGACCTTTAGTTGAAGACAGATACTCAGATGTAATTCTGAGAAATAATCAAATTCAGAAGAAAGGGTAGCGTGTCTTAAAATTCTTCTAGAAGGAAGGGCCCCAGTGGTTTGCTTTTAAAACACTGTTCTCATTAGAAATTCTTTTCTCATTGTCCTGTAGCGCTGCAGTGGCAGAATGCGGGTTTTCCAAAGTGAACTTCATATGATCAAAACAACCTCACGTACATACATGCTGTAAACCACACTCTTTTGGCTTAATAGGACCAGGAGCAAAACATATTTGTGGTCACAATCACAATCAACACTGCATTGGCAATAGCAGGCAATAGTAGTAGAAAACAAAAACAGCATTATTCTGTATGATCTAGATATCAAACCAGACGGGTACCATCCACAGTATTATTTAAATAGTTTCTCTTCTGACTCATATTTGCAGACTGGTCGTGGCATTGGCATTTTAACTCATATTAAATCAGGACAAGACTAAACATATAAGCCAATGAGAGTCAGACGCACTAAAACAATTAGAATAAACAGGGGAAACTTTGGCATGGCAATTGAAAACAGCAGAAGCATAGAACAAAATGTAAGATGGAAAAACAGCCTTTGGATAGTCACAACAACAACAGTCTTTCAGTTTAACTCAAGAGAATGACACCACAGTCCAAATAGTGGAAAGCTGCATTTTTTAGAATTTTCAGGATTTCAAGTCTTCAGTTTTCTGTGGACCTCTTTCCTCTCACCACGTTTC